CCAACTCCTAAGCACGCCCTCAAAAGAACTGGAGGCAGGGGCGCACGCACACGACCTGCATGCGTGTGACAGCGGCACACCCCCGCCGCCGCGGGCGGAGACAGCGCAGTCCGGGGGCCGAGGCCCGGATGCGCAGCTGTGGTCCCTGCGCACGGGGTTGGGGCGGCGGGGGGGGGAGCCGTGGCTCAGCCGCGAGGGGAGCGGAGTGCCGGCAGCCGTGGGGACAGACTGTGAGAACACCAAGCTGCGGGGGAGACGCCTCTGCCTGGGAAATGCAGGCAGATCCAGAGAGCAGACTGCAGCGGGGGGGGGGGGTTCTGTCCCAAGGGCCACGGGGAGCCACGGGAGGTGGGGACGCAGGGACTCCAGGGTCGCAGTGTTCGGCAAGCGGGGGGTGTGCAGAGCAAGCGTGGAACCGACCGGGACACCTGGGGGGAGGCCCCCCCCAGCAAACATCCCTGCGCAAGACGACGCTGGTGGGATCGGGGCAGCGGCGACTGAGAAGGGGCTCCTCCGTGGGTCTGGGCACGGCACTGTGGGTGGGGCCAAGCAGGCCCAGGGACGGGGTCCTCGTCCCCACACGGGGGCGAGACGCCCGGGGCCACCAGCCTCCCTGTGCTCAGCTGCAAAGGGGCGTGCCCATCGGCCGCCACCAGGTGCTCGGTGAGGAAAGCTCAGCAGGTCTGGGCTCCCAGGAGGGAGGAAGGACAGCGCTCCAGCAAGCTGAAGAATCCCCGTGCAGGCGGCAGGGGACCCAAGCCTCAAACCAGGGCACCGGGGTGCTGCCCCGCCGCCGCCGACAGGGCCAGTCAGGGGGCCAGGTGGGAGGCAGGGGCTCCCCTCATGGACCTCTAGCACACAGCAGGGTGGCACACAGCTGCCCACAAGCCACGGGCCGATGCAGCAGCACCCCACGGTCCTGCTAACTCCACACCCCCCGTTCCCATCCACCATGTGGCCCCGGTGAGCCTCCCCACGGAGGGAGCCGGCTGCGTGACTGTGACTTTGCATCCGCCCGGCGCTCTGCTGCATCCCTGCAGCCAATCACAGCGCTGGGCGCACAGCAGGTGCTCAGTGAACGACCCTGTCCGGCACAGGCGAGGTCAGAGACGCCGGCACGTGTCCACCCTACCCCGCTGGGTGGAAGCTTCTTTCCGGGGGGCGGGGGTCCTGCCCCCACATTCCTCTCCAGCCCCAAGCAGGACGGCCTCGGCGGCAGCACCGAAGCACCTCCCATAGATTTCCTGTGTCCCGGACAGCCCTGTTCCGGGCTGGGGAGGGTGGGGTCACTGCTGGGATGTCTCCGAGGTGCGGGGAGACGCTCGTGGAGGGACACGGGACTGCGGAAACGAGCCTGGGGGCCTTCGGACCGGAGCCTGCGCCCTGGCCGGGATGGAAGGTGGGCTGTCTGGGCCCCACGTGCCCATACTTTTCTCGGAACAGATGGGCACCGACACCGAACTTGTGACACAGGTCGGGGAGCCTGGGAATTAGAACCCAGCGAAGCCGTCACCACCACATGCACAGGTGCACACACATGCACCCATCAGAACCCCCCAGGGGCCCGGGGGGAGCTGAGGCCCCAGGCAGGGACCTGTCTGCCACACCCCACCCACGGCCAGCCTGTCACTGCCGGGGCCCGTGGGCCCCCCTCCCCGCTGTCTCTCCGGCACCTGGGACGGAGTCTGGCGCACGGCAGGTGCTCGTCTGCCTGAGAGCTGGCTCCCCTACGGGAGGCGAGGCGCCTGCACACAGTAGGTGTGCCGCTGTCCTCCAGCGGGTGTCGCAAACCGTCGCAAACGGCAGGAATTCACCCCTCTAAACGAGGTCCCGCAGACAGGTCCCGGGGGGCAGGGAGTGGAGGCAACACTACTGAGCCCCCCAGAGCGGGTGTTAGGCACGGGCTGGGTTTGTGCAGCTGGCACGGTGGCCCGGTCACTGTCCAGAGGGCCCAGCCCGGGGCGCTGCTGCCCGCTCGGCCCCAAGGCGGGGCCAGCAGGACGAGCCCAGCGCCCATCCGTCAGCCTGGTCAGTCAGGAAGTGGTCTGGGCGTCTGCCACGCGCAGGCTCGGGGGTCCCGGGGGGGCCGGGCAGACACGAAGGCTGCCAGTCGGGGGACATCCAGGGACAACAGACGATGGATGGACGGATGGATGGAAGGATGGACAGAAGGATGGTTGGACGGATGGATGGACACACAAACAAACATATGGATGGGATGGATGGATGGGACAGACAGGCGGACAGGATGGATGGACAGGTGAACAGACAGACTGTGGGACACCAATTTAACTGCTCCTTTTCCCAGGGTGTTTCTGGTCTCACTCCTCACACCAACCGCCAGGCCACGGGTGCCTTTACCCCACTGACATCCCCACGCTGGGTCCCTGCCGGTTGCCGTGGGGACGCAGATGAGCATCTCCATGCCCAGGAGCGCCCGGGCCCACACAGCCGCTCCCTGAGCCCCAGCCTGCGGGCACAGGACACCCTGGGGAGACGACCTCTGGTCCCAGCTCCAGAATCTGACCGGGGAGAGACTGACGGGAAGCTCCATGCCCAGGGGGGAGTTCAAGGCCGCCACCACCACGCACTGCTGAGAATACTGTGGGGGCTGGGGGGAGGGGAAGGCAAGTTAACGGGGACAATGACAACACCATCAGGAACAGGGGTAGTTACCGTCCCCACTTTGCAGAGGAGCGAACGGAGGCCGCAAGAGGGGTACGGACCCAACGAGAGAGCAGGTCCCCACTGAGGACGGCACACAGGGAGCCCCACGCCGGAAGGCAGGGAGGGCTGCCGGGGGTGAGCTGGGGCCCCCCCGTACCCCTCGTCCAGGCAACCCCGAAACCCCGGCGGCACACACATCACCCAGCGCCCTCTCAGTGCAGACGGGGAGACGAGGCCCGACACAGGCACGGACGTGAGCGCGGTCACTGAGCAGGCCCGGCCTGCTGCGTGGCTGGACTCCAGCCTCCGCCACCGGAGCCCTCCGCCCACGGGCCTCTGGGGAGGTGGGGACAGCGGCCTGGGCGGAGCCCACCTCGGACCCTTCAGGGCAGCACACCCCCGGGGGCCGCGGGGGACGGGACCCAGGTCCCAGGACGGAGGGCCGTGGCAGCAGCCGGGTGAAGGGCCGGGTCCCACAGGCGAGAGCCGAGGCCGGGGCAAAACCCACCCGCCCTCCCCCTAGAAACGGAAAACAGCCCAGCACTGGGGCGCACTCCACCCCGGTCCTGCGCCCCGCCAGGGCCCTCCTGTCCCCTCGCCTGAGCCCCACCACGGGCACCCAACGGGAGGCTCTGGTGTCCCTCACCGAACACGGCTGCCCACCTCGCGGACCAGGAACCGGGGGCTTAGGGGGGTGGCGCACCCGCCCAAGGTCACACAGCCACACGGCAGCCAGGCCGGCCGATCCCGAAGGCCACGGGCCGTCGCCATGCGCTCCCCCCCCCACCCTGCGTCCCCCACGGCGAGCAGAGGGGAAGTGGCGCTGGCTGGAGCTGCCGAGGGGCCCGTGTGTTCCTCATTTAATTGGTGCGTTTCTGGCCGCTGGACCGCGGCCAGCGCGGGCCGGCCCTGCTCCCCGGCCAAGAGGATCCGCTCAGGATCACTTCCTCCTCGACTTCTTGTTCTCCCATTTAATTTCAGAAGGAAGAGAGAGACAAACCGCAGCTGTGACAGCCCTCCCCGCACACCAGGTCACAGGGCTCCGCAGGGGACCCCTCGCCGCTCTGCGGCCGCCCCCTCGGGTGTCACCTCCAAAGCACTGCCAGCCTGGCCCTCCCCGGGTCCCCCCTGTGCCCCGGGCGCCCCGGGGAGGAACGAGTTTACCATGAGACCCGGCTCCTCTGTGCCGCCTTCCACAGGACCATTTTCTCTGCAGGGGGAGGGGGGCCCGGGGGAGAAGCAGACACCTGGCCTCAGGCACCGGCTGTGGGGTCCGACACTCAGCCCCCAGCCCTGGGCTGGGAACGGACTGGCAAACTGCCCCAGGCTCAGCCCACGGTGACGGCTCACCGCTCAGGACTCGCTGGGTCTCTAAAGGGGCCTGGGACCCTTCCCCTTCACCGCCTGGTCCCGAAGGACCCCACCGCCAAGGGGGGCGTGGACCACGGGACGCAGCTCCGATGCACGCACGCACGGCGGGGAGAACGGAGCAGGCGCAGAAGGCCAAGTGCCGTGGGGTTTCCGTGCTGCGGCACACCCAGAGGAGGGAGGTTCGCAGACCAGAAAGGGTGCAGGTGACCGGGGCCGGGGAGGCGGGGCAAGACGGTGTTTAATGGGAACTGAGTCTCAGTTTTGCAAGATCAAAAAGTTCTGGAGGTGGCGGGTTGGGGGGGGGAACAGTTGCGCAACAGCACGGGAGCACACGGAACACTGCTGTGAGCTGCACGCGCCCTGCGGAGGGGCTGGGATTCGGAAGCTCTCTGCTTACGTGCATTTTGCTCCAGTTTAAAGGAGAATACTCAAATGCAGCACACACCTCCTCCAGGCAGGCCTCCCCAGCCGCTGGCCCGCAGGACCCCACCGGGCTCGTGTTGCTGCGGCGGGTCCCCCACCAGGGCTACCCCATGGGACGAGAGTGTTGCCAAGTGCCCGCCGGGGGACCGGCGCTCAGCAGCCCCCCACCCTGCAGACCTCCCTGACTCTGGTCCACCTCGCCTCAGGCCCCAAGGGCCACCTCCCACCTGGCGGCTGGGATGCAGGGACGGGCGGATCGGACACTCTGTCCCGCAGCCCCCGGCCGGGCCCTGAGTGGCTGTCCCTGCCCGCCCATCTGCGGCCTCCACCCCATCCTGCTGAGACCCTGAGCGAGGGCCCCCCCCCCGACCTCCCCGCACCAACATCTGGCCACCGTGTCCGCAGCTGTGCAGCTGCCGGAAATGCCTCCTCCCGCCCCCTCCCCCGCGCACGCAAGCCCTCGAGAACAGCTTTGCAAGGAATGCTCGGGGTCGCCCCGAGTATGTCGGGGCGGATCTCCGGGGGGCCTCCTCCGCCACATGTGCACCAGGACCGACGTTTCTGCCCGGAAGAGCTGCTTTGCCGGCGGCGGTGACGGGGCCTGGAGCCCACCCACCCGACGGCAGCCCCCCCACGCACTCCCCCAGGCCAGACCCGGGGTGGAGGGGGGCCCACCTCCCACAGGCCTGGCCCGGTTCCAGCAGACGCCCAGGCCACGGCGGAGAGGGCCCACCCCGACCGGCCGGCCCAACGACGAGATGGAGTCGTCGAGAACCCGGGGGCCCCCAGCCCGCGCGGCCAGCAGCCCGGGCGGCCAGCGGCACGTGCGCGGTGCCCAGGGGCGGGCACCTGCCCGGGGGGTGCTTCTCCGTCTGCAGAGGGAGCGAGACGGACCCGGCCCCGGGGAGAGGGTCGCAGGCGGGAAGGAGGAGCAGAGAAAGGAGGAATGTGGAGGCCCCGGGAGGAAGTCCGGGGGGGAGGTGAGGGGCAGGTGGGGGTGGCGTCTGTCGAAGGCCACCGGAAGGAGGTGACCGCTGGTCACAGAGGTGGCCCCGGGGACCCACTGCCACCAATTCTTTCAGGAGGAGCAAGTCCGGCGGGGAGACACCTCTCAACTCACAATTTTTATTTGAAAAATACTGACTGTGACCCTGACCCATCAATCACCCCCACACAGCCCACGGGCCGCCGGATGTGACCTGTGCCTGCAACAGGTGGGCAGGCGGGCGGGCGGGCGGGAGCCACGAGGAGGGCCAGCAAGGCCCAGGGGAGCCAGCCCGAGGAAGTGGGGCAGCCAGTGACAGGCGAGACGCCCTCCCGGGAGAACCAAGGCTTGGAGGGGAGCCCCGAGGGGACCCCCAACTTCACCAGGCAGAGGGAGGAGCTGGGCCTGCTGTCCAGGGACCCCTCAGTGTACCCCCACCCTGGCAGGACACACACTGGCCGTAAAGGGCCACGAAGCCCCACCGGTCCCTTTCGCCTTCGCCCCCGCGTCCTCAGTCCTGGACCCTGGGCAGGCCGAGCCTGCCTCCCAGGTCCGGCCCAGGAGCCGCAGCCGGGGCCTCTCTCTCTCGCGGCTCTGGGGGCCCGAAGCCTCGCTGCTCCCAGGTCTCCAGGGGAGGCCTCCTGCTGCCCACGCCAGCGTCCGGCCGCTCCGGGCGTCCCCCGGCTTGTGACCGCGTCCCCCGGTCTCCGCCCAGCTTCAGGAGGCTGCCCTCTGTGTCTTCTCTTTGTCTCTCCCAAGGTCACCGGTCCCTGCATCCAGGGCTCACTGGTCACCCACGGGGACCTCGTCTCAAGACGGGTCCCACGTCCAGAGCCGGGTGGTCACAGGTGCGCCGTGTTTCGGGGGCCACCTCTACCTGGCCAAGGCCTTCCCTGCCAGGCTCTGCTCCTGGCCGCCGGCCCCAGCCAGCCCCCCGCCCGGCCCGGCCGAGGCCCAGCAGACTCCGCACGGAGCAGGTGGAGAACAAGGCGCCGAGACGGAAGCCACACGCCCGGGGTCTGAGCTGCTTTCCCGGAGCGGCCCGGACACGCAGCCCAGCACTGGGCCGCGCAGGAAACGGGAACTCTCACGCCCACGCTGCTGGGGGGCAGGCCCGCGGCCAAGACTCGCCCCCTTCCCGGGCCTGGGGGCTGGGCGCGGGGGCGCACACTTCTCGGAGTCTCCGTGTGCGCCCTGCGTCCAGGCGAGCACAGCCCGCCTCCCAGGCCCCGGGGTCCCCACCTCTCCCTGGACCCCCAGCCCTGCCCTGCCCTGCCCTGCCCTGCCGCCGGCCCACCCAGCCGCCCACCCGGCCGCCCACCCAGCGCAGAAAGAGCCCATTATGACTTCACAGGCCGGGAATTATGTTATTAGCCTGGGACGGAGGCTGCGCCCAGGGACAAAGGGCTCATTGTCATGCAAATGCCCGACTCAGAAGGCGGAAGGCGGGGTGGCTCCAGCCTCCAGCCTCCAGCCTCCAGCCGCGGGGACAGACCCACTCACTGCAGGCCTGGCAGGGGCGGGCGGGCGCCCCGGCCTCAGCGCAGGACCGAACCAACAGGGCTCCCTCGGACGGCCCCCCAGCACCTGGGTTCGAGTCCGCCTCCTCTGCCGCGGAGCCGCTGCCTGGAGCCAGGGCGCCACAGGATCCGAGAGAAGAACCCGCTCACGGGGCTGGGCGTCATCGCCCGGCACAGAGACACCTGCCCGGGAGCAGCCGTTAGCTGCGCACAGCGCCCGCCAGCGGGCAAGCCGGAGGCTGTGTGTCTCCAGGCGCGCTGCCGACCCTCTCTGGGCTCCCGCCGGGGCTGGCAGGAGGACTCAGCGAACGCAGGGACGCAGGACGCCTGTCACACTCTATCCGTCCTCAGTACACAGAGCGGACGCCCCTGCACCCCCGCCCGGCCCCCTCCCCTGGCCCCCCCCCCCGGGCCCCCACTTCCCTTACTCACGAGCCTGACCTCTCTAAGTTTATCTAGGAAGAGCAGACGAATTTCTGGGGCGAATGAATGCACAACAGCTTTTTGAAAAGACCCTAGTTCTCCAGGCGCACCCCGAAACACATTCTTGACCCCCCGCCCCATCCATCAGAAGTTCTGGGAGGGAGGGAGGGAGGTGAGCACGACGTGAATTCCGACCCGGGGGCCGGAGTCCCCCCCGCCGAAGCCCTCGCAGGTGCGGCCGACCCGGACGCTCTGCGGGAGCACCTGCGTCCCCCGAGAGGCCCCGCGTCCTGGGAGGGACACCGCGTCGGACGTGCTGGGTAAACCCGCAGGAGGTCCCAGGTGGTGCCGACGGCAAGGGGACAGGGAGTGGCCACGGGGGGCGGGGCTCGCTCGGGCCTGAGAGAGGGGAGGGCGGGAGGACCCCGGAGCAGGTGCCTCGGGCAGAGGACGGCACGCGCGCGTGAGCGGGGGACACGTGTGAGTTCGGCGCCACGCACTTTCTCGTGTCGGCGCGGCGACGGCATCGGGAGCAGGAAGGCCCCACCGCAAGGGGCGCCTGTGGGGTCTATGGGGGAGCTCGAGCCCTGAGACCCTCAGGGCTGGGCAGAGGCGGCCCCCCAAGGGACTCGGGGACAGTGTGGGGACACACGTGGGGCCTTCGGCCGCGCAGGCCTTCCCCGGGGCCCCCCGGAGAGGAGTGAGGACGCCCAGACGGCAGGCGGCCGGCGCGGGCAGCCTGCGCTCGGGGGGAACTCCCAGCTGGCTCCCGCTGGCGCCACAGGAGAGGCCCCGAGCCAGCCGGCCACCAGCCCGGCATCCGGTGTGACTTACCAGCACGGCTCGGCCGCCACCCTCAGGGGCGAGCCGGCCCCACCCACTCGGACCCCAGACGGCAGCAAGCCGAATCTGGGTGTCTGGTGCAGGTTTGGGGGGAGACAGGACAGAAACGTCCTGCGCTGGGGGACCCCGGGGACCCTGGCCCTGGGCGAAACGCAGACAGTCTAGGGACCGTCCCTCTCCAACTGGCCGGGCTGGGGTTTCCACGTCTCTGAGACGGAGGATTCTCAGCAAGGGAGACCCAGACGTGGCCGGCTTAAGCTTGAGCCTGGGCCTACGTGTCCGGGGCACCCAGACACGGCTGAGCGGGGCAGCGCCCGCCGGACCGGTCCCAATTTCCCCAGACGTCCCTGCAGGAGGTTCCTGCTGTGCGGAGGAGGGACCTGAGGTTCCACGACGCCCCGTGGCCTGCCCCAGGTCGCACTGTCTGTGAGGGGCGGCATGGCAGCGTTCACGGGCCCCTGTACGCCACACAGCAACCTGTGTGGGGTGGGGGACAGACGGTGCGTCCATTTGTCAGATGGGAAAACCGAGTGCCTCGTCCCAGGTCACACGGCCAGGAAGCATTCGGCTGGGACACAGCCCCGGTTGTCGGCCCGGGAGCGAGGCAGGAAGCAGGAGGCGCCGCAGCTCCCGTGACGTCCCCTGACGCCTGTGGGACCCCCGCTGGGGCCCCATCTTACGGGTGAGGACACTAGTCTCACACGGGGGAGGCGAGGCCGCCCGGGGCAGGAAGGGGGAAGGAGCCGGGATTCCACCCCGGGACGTGGCGGGCGGGACAGGCGGCCGGGGACCCAGACCCTCCGGGGCCCAGGCTGGAGCCCCCAGGAGCCACGGGCGGCCGCCTCCCCCAGTCCCGGCACGCCCAGACCTCCGGACACGTCTCGCCCTCGGCCCTCCGCTCGCCACTGAGGGCTCCTTGTGAGCGCGGGAAGCCCGCCCAACTTTCCAATGTTTACCCGCTCCCGGCCGCCAGGGCCCGGGCAAGCCTGGGCCGGTGGCGCTGCTTTCAAACCAGACACGGGCGCCCGGCCAAGCGCCACCGCGGTGGGAGCCGGGCGCCAGGGACGCCGCGGCGCGGCCTGCACCTGGCCCCCTCCCCCGCCGCGCCCCCGACGCCCGAGGCCCAGGGACCACCTCCGGGGCCGGGACCACCCAGACCCTCGGCTCTGCCCACGGCCCCGGAAGAGCGGCAGTGGCGGCCCACCCCACGCGTCCCCTCCCACGGACAGCAGCCAAGGGGAACTGCCCCCCCAGGGCACCCGCCCCCTCGGCTGACAAGGTGGCCCCACTGTCCGATCCGGCCGGCAGCCTGAAGTCCGCGCAGCCCGGCCCAGGGCCACCGCGCCCGGGCGGGATGGGGCTCCGGCCGGAGGAGCCAAGGGCACCCCCAGCGGCGGCCCCCGCCCCGGTCCCACCCGGCCCGAGAGCCGCGGCCGCATCCTCGCCCACCGCCCTGCCCGCCTGCCCACCGCCGGGCTGGAAACTTCTCTTACCGAGCACATGACCAGCCTTCCACTCACGTCAGCTCCCAACACAACTTGAAGTAACTCTCCCACAAGAAAAAAAAAGGAAAAGAAAAGAAAAGAAAAAAGAAAGGCCAGGAACCGTGCCAGCGGCGGGGCAGCCGAGCGCGCACACAGCCCGTGCCGCTGGCTCCCAGCAGACGCGCCTCGGCCGGCGTCAAACCATCCTCCCCGCAGGCCCGACCCCGGGAGGGGGCGGCCCCTCCGGCCCCGCCGCCTTCCCGCGAGACTACGGGCTCCCCCCGGGGCGGCCGGGCCCGCGGCCTCCGGGCCCCACGCAATGACGCCCCCCCCCCAGACAGGCCCGCTGGCCGGGCCACCGGGGACGAGCCGCTCGCGCGGGCGCCCGCCCCGCAGCGGAGCCGCCACCGGGGTCAGGCCTCCGCGCTCCCGCCCGCCGCCCGCCGCCCGGGCCTGCAAACACGGGGAATTACATAAGTCCACTCCTCTTGTGGAGGAGCCAAAAGTAGGAGCCTTTTCTCCCAGCCTTGGCAGTAAGTAATAATTCCTCATTGCCATGGCAACCCTGGCGGGCTTCCAGCCGCCACTCAGGAGCTGAAACACTGGGAGGCCTTTTTATAGCTCGGGGAGAAAAACCTCTTCACCGTTCCCCGCTCGCTCGCTCGCTCGCTGGCAGGGAGAGCAAGCTCTGGGCCCGAGTTCCCCTCCGAGACCGCTTCCTCCCCGCCGGAAGGCCCCCCGGAGCGCCCCCCCACCCTGTCCCCGGGAGCCCGGGCCTGCCCGCCGCCCGCCGCCTCTGGCCTGGGCCTGCCACGGAACCCGAGCTGCTGCCCCTGTCCCCTCCCGTCCGCCGGTCTCCAGGGTGACGTGGCCGGAGGGCAGCTGGGCCTTCAAAGCGTCTCTGTGCTTGTCCTCCCGGGAAAAGCAAGCATGACCCTCGCACTGGCATTCCGAACAGGGGTCATCCCGGTGACAGGCCTGGAGGGAGAGGAGACGCAGCCCCGCCCCCCCAGGCACACACGGGCCGGGCCGGAGGCCACGGTGGCCAGCCAGCCAGGGCTCTGGACCTTGGCTGTGACCGGCCGAAGGAGTCACGCCCGCCGGAGCCTCTCTGTGTGTCGGCTTCGCGTCCGGGGCCGGACAGGTGCAGCCTCGCTTCCCACACTGTCCTCGGAGCGGCACTGACCAGGCGCCCGGATGCAGAGGGTCCCCACGGTGGTCTCCAGTGTCCCTCCCTCGCCCCTGCAGCCAGGAGTGGGGCCGGCGATGCCTGCCCGGGGCAGCACCTGCGAGAGACGCAGCGAGGGCAGGGGCCTGGAGGCAGGACCGAGTCTGGTGTCGCCAAAGCCGGGAGCAGGCTGGGGCGGCGAGTGCAGTGGTCCCGGGGCCGGGGGGCGGCGGTGGGGTGTCAGGGAGTAACAGAAAGTGTGTGGGGGGCTGGAGGCGGGGGCAGCTCCTAAGGGCCTTGGGCAAGCCGCTCCGTGAACTGGGGTGCTCCCAGGGGCGACAGCAAGAGCAGTGGCTGATACTGTCACTCAGCACCGCAGAGGCTCTTCGCCCGCCGGCCCCTCCCCCCTCAGGAGAGCACCTCGGGGGGCAGGCGCGACTTCACAGCCCCCCCCCCCACACACACACACAGAGGGAGACGGCTCAGAGGCTCAGTGGCGGGAACGCGGCTGCAGTGCGAACGGGGACACCTGGCCGGCCCCACCACGCCGCCGAGGACTCGGGGTAACCTGGGGTCGACGGGGTGTGCGCGAGCCACCAAGGTCCCCGGCCGCGGGACAAGCTGCTGGGGCCCCGAGCAGCCGCTAGGTGACCGGGGAAGAGGCTCCAGGAGGCCGAGTGAGGGTCAGCTGTCATCAGCCCCCTCCCGCTCTTCCCAAGGAAACCCCTGCCCGGCAGCCACGCGGGGACCTTCCTCCCACCCCCCAGCCTTCTCTTCCGGGGTGGGGAAACCGAGGCACGCACGTCCGTGAGCGGCCGGAAGCCGTGTTTTTAGACGGTGGGGCCCAGCACCGTCCTCCCGCCGGCCGGCCCCCTCCCTGACCTGCCAGAGCCCCCGGAGCCAGACCAGCCAGACCGGCCCCAGCGACCCCAGGCAGGGAGCAGGCCGCTGGTTCCTCTCGTCCCTTCCTGTTGGAGTCAGACACCGGCCGGCGCCCGGGCCTTCTCAGAGACCGGCCCCGGCACCCCGGGAACCGCATCCAAGCCCCCGGGGCTGTCCGTGCTCCAGGCAGGCTCGGGCTGGGCTGCGCCGTTCCAAAGCCCCTTCTCTCGCCTCCCCGGGAGGGAGCTGGGCAGCAGGGATGGGAGGGGTTTGGGGGGTTGCTGAGTGACCTCCCAGGGAGGCAAAGCGTCCGAGACCGGAAAGACCGCCCGAGCTGCGCCCTCCACGGGGAGCCAGCACCAGCACCCTCCACCCCGGGGCCTCCCACCGCGAGCCCCCGACCAGACGCTGCCGCAGGCCACTCCCGGAATCCCGTCGGCCCGGCCAAGCTCTGGGGGCCGTGGGAAAGGTCGGTGACGGCGTCAGAGGACACGCTCTGATGGGGGACGCGGAGGCCCGGGGCCCCGAGAGGAGAGGGGTCCTTAGACGGGGGGGGCCCCCGTCGAGGCCCCGCCTCTGCAGGCAGCGGTCCGCTCAGCGGGAAATGCGGGTTTTCCCGTCCCCTGCCTCTCTCGGGGTCCCCACAAACCGTGCCTGCGGGGGCGGGGAGGGGGGCTCCGGTGACTAGAGGGGACCCTCCGTCCAGCTCCCGTTCAGCATCCAGCCCCAAGTGGACGGGATCCCAGCGTGCTCCCTCCCCAGGCGGCCACTGCTGCCTGACCAGGCTTCCTGACCAGCACGGAGATCAGGCTGGACTCGGGGTGGGGGCCAGGGGAGGGGGACACGGGGAGAGAGAGAGAGACAGGGCACTGGACACATCCCCTGGTTTCGCCTCCTGCTCCCCTGCCCCGCGCGCCCCAGCGCCCCGAGACCTGGGCGGGTGGCCACCCCCTCTCCGCGCTGCCTCGGTTTCCCCATCTGAAAGGCCACTTAGGAGACGCTTTTTGTCGACACACGCCGCCCCACAGAGCGCGCCTCGGCCGTGACCCAGAGCAAAGCGCCAGCAGCTGCTGCCACGTGGACGGTCCTCGAAAAAAGACGGCGCTGAGGGAGGGACGCCGGCCACGGAGGGGCCACCGAGGCCACGGGGGGTGGGGGGGTTCCGTGGACGGGAACGTCCCAAAGAGGCAGAGCCACGGGGACGGAAAGCGGGTTAGTGCTGGCCGGGCCGGGGAACGGAGGGGGCCGCTCCCGGGGACAGGGTTTCCTCCTGGGGCGACGAACACAGGTGAGAACTAGACGGAGACGGAGGCTGTCCGACACTGTGACTAAACGTACTAAAAACTCACGAGTCGCTCACTTACAAACGGGTAATTGTACATGATCCGCAGGAAAAAGATGGTTTGGTTGAGTGGCCACCGTTCCCCCGCCCAGGTCACTGCCTTCCTGAGAGACAGCGTCCGCCTTCCCGCTGGTCAGAGCCCCTGACCCCAGGCCTGGAGCCGGCAGGCACCGCGCACTTACTGGGCACTGACTGTATGCACTGGGCGTGGGGACACAGCCGGAACGAGACACGGCAGCCTGCTCCGCGGGGCTGACCTGAAAGAGGTGAGCGAGTCGACAGGAGACACAGACGGGATGGAATTCAAGCAGCGACACCGCTGTGGACAGGTGGCTCCTGGGGCCGGGACGGTCCACAGTGGCCCGGGAGGGGCGAGGGACTCAGTGTGGAAACCTCCCGGGGGCCGTGTCCCACGTGGAGACACAGCCCGGACGGAGGCCCCGAGGGGAGGTCCGGGACAGCCGGGACAGGTGAGCCACGGCGGTGTGTGGCCAGGACCGCCCGCCAGGTCACAAGCTCCAGGTGGCCTAGGGCCCCGGGGCCACCAACAGGTCTTGAAATCTGAAGTGTTGTTAACGTAACACCTGCAGCTGCATCCGTGTCCTGGGGCCGCTCACACTAGTGACCCCAGTCCAGGGGGGCTTAAAACTCCGCAGTTTGTTCTCCGACCGCCCTGGAGGCCAGCGGCCCGGCATCGTGGGGGCGGCTGGGGTGACCCCGCCTTTCGGGGCTTCCAGAGGAGGGTCCCTCCTGCCTCCTCCAGCTCCCGGTGGCCGCAGGGCTCCTGGGCTCCTGGACCCGTCACTCCCACCTCTGCCTGGGTCGCAGGTCGCATGGGCCTCCCCTCCGTGTCCACCGAAGTTAGGGCCCATCGTGATCTTGGAGGATCTTATCTCCGTCCTTAACTTGACCTCATCTGCACAGACCCCGGGTCCAAACAAGGTCCCATGACCGGTTCCAAGCGGACATACCCTTTGGGGCCACAACTCGGCCGCCGGCCACACACTTCATCAAGACTCGCCAAGATTCGGGGCACAGGACACTCCAGCCGGGCCTGGCCCGCCCTCTCCTCTCCTCAGGATTCTGGGGAGCCAGGCGACAGGCTGTGGGGAGACACCTGAACACCTTAGGGAGCCTCCCCCGCCCCTGTGCCCGGCCCTCTCCCGCCTGAGCCACCCAAGAACAGACCCCAGATCCCCTTCCGTACGAGGGGCAGCCGGGAGCTGCCCACGGGGGGCTTGCAGGAAAGGGTGCCCTTGACCGGGAGCTCCAGCGGGCCACGACCTTAACCGGCATGGAGACATCCGGACCCAAATGCACCCTGCCTTCCCCATCCCTCCACCTGGGCACCGAGGTGCCCACGTTGGTGGCCAGGGAGAGTGCACTGTCTTTTGGGCTGTTTTTATTCTGAAAGGGCTGCCCCCACTCGCGGCCACTCTGAGCCGGGAGCAGGCAGAGCCCGCTGCAGAGCACCCGCCAGTGTGGCGGGGCAGGGGCGGCGGCTGCCTGCCCTGAGGCCTCAGGAGCCCCCTCCGGGGGGTGGGGGGGCGCGCGGCAGAGGAAGGAGGAGGTGTCCGGGAATGCCCCTGGCCACCGCCACCGGCTGGGTCCCGGGACCCACGAGGGAAGGGCAATTTTACCAGGCAGACCCCCACACACGCAGCCCAGGGGCAGGCACTGGGGGCAGAATTCACCCAGGCCCCTCAGGCCTCCCGACAATCCCACACACACCCCCGTTACAGACGGGGGACTCGAGGTTCGGAGCCATGGCATGCCTTGCCCAGGGGCACCCGGGAGGAACGGCAGGGCCTGACCCCGGGGAATGCGGCACCTGGGCCCGCATCACTAACCGCAAGGCTCGCCCTCTCCCAGGAGACCTCAGGCAGCACTGGAGGGCTCTGAGACACCGCGGGGGCCGGAGGGGGGGCCCTGGGCCCTGTGTTTGGGAAAGGACCTCTCCAGGGGCGTTGAATGTGACTTCCCAAGCCTTGGGACCTTCTGGTACATTCCGTGGGACATTCTGCCCAGACAACAGAAGGCAAAATACTTTCAGATAAAAGTCACAGCTAAGAACAGAGGCCACAAAATGATGACAGCCAGCTGTGGCCAACAAGGAAGCTCTTTCTCACACACGTTTTTTTTTAAATCAGGACATTGCTTATAAAGTCCAGATTTTGGCCTCTGTTGGGGGAAAAATAGATCATTCAGCACGCCAGCTGGTCACAATCCTCACCCCTGCCTTCTGCCTCATGCCCTTCCGCAACTGCGTCTGAGTTTGGGACACCCCTTCCCCCGACCCTGGCCTCCTGCCCCGGCTGTTGAAGACAGATGAACAAGTTCAAGGCACACGGACAGGAGAGAGGAGTGACACTCCTGAGTCTGCTTCACCTTGGCTGGTGGAGGTGGTGACGTGAGAACCTGCCTGAGAACACGGCCCCTGTGGGCTCTCCCCAAGGCAAGGTTTAAGCTCCTGGATCCAGCCATGCCTGAACTTGTCATCCCTGGACTTTGCCATTATGCGCAAATTCCCCCTCGTGGCCTGAACCTGCCTGAGTATGTTTCCGCCACAACCTGGGAGTCCTAACTAATCACCCCGGGTCTGGCCTTCACCCACACTGGGCCACGGACGCCCGCCCCGAGCACAGATTCCAGTGTGGTCACGCTCCAGCGACCTGAACTCTGCCTGCACAGCCTTCCCCGCCCTGGGTGGCACTCATTGAACCGACACTCTCTCGGGACGCTGAACTCCTCAAAGGCGTGGGCAATGTCCAGCTTTTCCATCTGGCTGGGGAC